TATAAAGTGAAGTTCGTAAGGTTAAATCTCTTCCTAGTAAAAGTTGCTTAAAAAATAAGTATTACACAATCATTATAATTGCTTAGTTTTAAAACTAGGATATTTTGTGTTTCGAGAAACCAGACAATGAATATCAGATAAAACCCATAATATTCGGATTCAAGTCAATTAAAAAAAGTTCGTTGACTAAACTGATCTAACCAAATGAAACCTGGGACAACATTTATACAAAATTACGTACCGTAAAACGGGGTTACTTTGACAGATTTTGGGACATTTTTGACAAGAAATATAAAACCTTCGCCAATAATCCACAAGAAAGTATATAATTGTAACAAACATTAATAAGACTGTAAATACTGAAAATTTTAATGAAAAATATTGAGAAGTAATTTAGAAAAAAAAATTGTTTAGAGGCTGCTGAAGTAGGCAATCGTTTGGGGTAGCTTTGGCAGGATATGTTACAAATAAAAAAAACTAACTTAAACATTTACAATAGTTAATTTTAAATTTTCGCGTTGTTGATACATGTTTTAAATATACTATCCGAATTTAATGCGATGAAAAATTGCAGGTAAACAGTCGGCAATAAAAATCAGGTGTGCAGGTTCTACTTACCTACAATTTTTCATCGCGTTATATCCCGATAATGTAGGTAGATAGATATATACTCTTTATTGTTTCCTCTAAATGATTACAGTAGTAAACTTATTTTAGACAATTACAAAAATTATTGTTAAAGGTTTCGAAGGCACACACTACATTAATGTAGTAACTACCGCTTTAACTTCCATGTAATTATATCGAGAAAGCTCGACTAGTTTTGAGACCAAATCGGGATCCTTAAACATGGGCGGCTGTAATGCACTTTCTTGATCTAATTACATGTAAGTTATTACATTAAAATTACAAAATTTAAATAATTATTATATTTAAAATATTTACAATACTAGATGTTTCCTGTGGTTTACCATACAATGTATCCTATGCTTTAAGTTCGGTTAAAACCGCTTTTACACCAAGTTTTCTTCAAATCTACTGATTATTACATAGTATAAAACAAAGTCGCTGTCTATGTGTGTTCGTCCCTATGTATGCTTAAATATATAAAACTACACAATGGATTTTGCAGCGGTTTTTTAATAGATAGAGTGATTCAAGAGGAAGATTTATATGTATAATACATTCATAATATTGTAGAGAAACACTGATAAATTTAGAGGTTTCTAATGTGACGTCGTACATAAACACATTTTTTGCGCTTACATTGCAAACGCTAGCTGAATCCTATGAGATAGGTTAAAATAATGTCGGTGGCTAATAATGCGGCCCTATTTAGTATCAGTATAGCATCCGTATGAAGCCGGGGCAGGTTGTTAGTCTATTATATAGTATATGTGAAAAAGACTCTATTTTCCGCGCTTAGCCTCTCATTTGGGCCGTTGTGCGTGTGAATATTATATAGTATATTTATATATAGTATATATACAATAATTAATATATAGTAGTTTTTTACGTGAAAGAATAACAAACATTCATCTATACATGTTCAGAAACCTTCACGTTTATAGTACCAGTAAGAATAGTAAGGTTATTTTGCCAGAGAAGTAAGTATGATTAATTTTGTAAAATATCGAAGTTTTTTTTCAATTAACGAATTGTTAGCTTAAAAATACAGACACCACTTTGTTCAAGTGATTGTTGAGTGAAGTTTTTTTAATCGTTTTCTGATCTCGTATTACTCAATAATGAGAAAATTTCATTATCGAGCAATACTCTAATTTCAATCGCATTCTAGAATTTTCCACAAGCGTAATTTGAAATTTGTAATCTGAACCATTGTTCTAGTTAATTAAAACGTGGATTGAATTGTTTTTAGTTTTTTCTAATTCCATTATTATATTCCTCCAACTATTCGATTTCAAAGTAAAACCAATTATTTTTGTATCGAAACACAGTAATGTAAACAAATATACTTGAAGTATATGTAATAGAACTTTTTATATATATATATTTTTATACAACTTAGAATGGCAAACAAGCTGACGGTCCACCTGATGGAAAGTGTTAACCGTCACCTATAGACATTAGCAGTACCATGGACATAACAGAGTATACTGTTTCGCTCATGATACCCCCATGCGTTGCCATTCCTGAGGACTCAGGTGTTATTCCTCTGTACCCAGTAAATTCACGCCATATCCCACCCTTCAAACCGAAACATAGCCATGCAAACACAACTGCTTCACGGTTGAAACACGAATGGTACAGAGGTACCCAAGCAATCGACTTTTGTACAGGTACTAGCTTTTATCCGCAACTTGGATCGCGATTTTGCAAGTAAGAAATTTAATAAAATAGATACTTCTAGATAACATATAAAAATAAAACATATTTTAACAATTATATATAATATTATTAAAAAAAAATTTTACTTTGATCCAGTGTTTCATTTTCCAAAAACTAGTGTTACTATTATTAAGTTCGCCAATCACGCAAAAATATACTCCGTTAAATTGGATATAGTTTTCACAGTATTTCTGATGGTCCAACATAAAATCTGGTAAATATTTTATCTTGATTACAATTTGAAAGTGACCTAATAATTCATTGGTTCATAATCCACGCGTACGAGGTGCCTTCAAAGCTCAAACAAAAAGATATTATTTTAAGTATTAATTTAGCACCTTATATGTTATGCTTTTTATGCTAACCCTATAAATACTTTCTCCTTTCGGGTTCTCGAGGTTGACTGGAAGAAATCCCTTTAAGATAAAGTAACCTGTATACATTTTGGTACTACCTAATATTTATATTATAAGTGAATGTACAAAAACATATAAATAAATAAGTTGCGAGAACAAGGTAGTATACTTACCAATTACATAAATAAATAAGTTAAATAAATATTCTATAACAATTATCTCCATTTCGTTACACTTTGCCTATGTTGGCAGCGTGATTTACATTATCTTGTCAAACTTGTTTACTTAAAACATCATTTATTTACATTTTCAACCCGAATTACGATCAATCTGTAGAAAAATAAATTGAATCAGTAATTTTATTTGCGACAAATTGGGTTAAAGAAATTTCAGGCTTTATACAAGAGATATAGATAAGTTATAAAAAAAATAAATCTTTAAATTAGATGACCTTCGTAGCGCAGTAGTAGACAAGTTGTTTTACGTGAATGAAGTAATGAATTCAATTCTCGGTCAGGTCAATTTGGGACATTAATTTTACTAAATGATTTCAAGTATGAATATTCTGAGTGATGTTGCTCGATTTCGTTGCCTGATACCTCATGATAACTATTTTGAGGACTAGACGTTTGGTGTGATGTTAATGACGTTTGAAGTGGCATTTAGAATTTTTATGGGGGTCGTCGTAAAGGGTTTACCACGTCGATTCGAAACCCAGTGATAGTATTTATTAAACGAATTAAATAAATGACTGGTATGATGGGAAAGGGTGGGGGGAGAGATGCCAATCCCTTCCATAGTAATAAGGACTAACGACACCATTACTAGCAAATACCCTGTCAGGTTGACCTCCACGTGGAAATCATTGTGGTTTATTTTTGCTGAATTCATCACGATCATGACCTGCTTTCATCCTTACTTATATCATTAATACAAGTGACGTTATCAAACCATTTTCATTCATTAAAAAAATCTACAAGTTTCATAGATTATTCTGTGTGGTCCATGATACAGTGCCATGTCGACAGGCGACAGTTATCATTTTTTATCAGTTGCATAAAATGAAAAAAAAAATATATATTTAATAAAAAAAAAACAAGAAGCTTCCGAAATCAACGAGTATAATGACGTCACGTCTGCCACGCGCCATGATGCGTACGTGTCGGACGCGATAATGAAAAAAGTAATGTCAAAACTAATTTTATTCGAATTAATTTTGTTTTAGGTAACTCATTATGCAAAAGGGGATCTTATGACTAATTTATCCTGAAGGGGGCGCCACTGTGTTATAATAACGTAAACAAACATCATCTCTGATTAAGTCTACAGTGACAGGCGGGAAAATAAAATATTGTTACATTGTTTTTTCGCGGTTGTGGAATTTTTTTAGAGACAATGTCAATCAAATCTTATATATGATAGCGCCATCTTGTTACGTAAACTGATCTAAAATTTTAAGTGTAATTTATTTTTAGTTCTTAATATACTTTAGTGATCTACGAATATCTGTTCGGTTTTTTTATTTGTAATTTTGGAAATGTAAAGTAATAAATAATTATCTCTCTATCAATTTTCAATCAAATCGGTTCTACTGTTTAACAACGATTGAGTAAGTAATGTCCTATAATATTTAAACATCAAAAATACTTTACAAAATCATTAGATTAGCGCGAAGTAAGACACAAGTAGGTGGCATAACTAGTTACAAATAGGGGAAAGGGATTGTTAGTAATGGGGTTTAAAATTCCCATTGCTAGAAATATACCCTATCAGATCGAAGTCCACTCAGTTCTTTCCGGAAACCATTGTGGGTATTGTTGAATTTGTCACGATAGTCCAACTGCCCTGTTTTCATCCTCACCTATCAGCCCTCATTAGTACCAGCCGATACCACAGACGAGTTTATAATTTTATTTTTACTTATTAAAAGAAAAAACTATTTTAAATACACTAATGCTATGAAAAAAAAAAACTTTATAAACAACGCGAAAATTTTAAAAATTATCTAAAAATAATTAGTTCCAAATATCTATGCATTCTTATTAATATTGTAAATGTGAAAATGAGTTTGTTTGTTATCTTATAACGCTTTAACGACTTTACAAATCACAGTAGAATTTGATATACACATATGGGATGGAAAATGATATAGGCTAGGCTTTTTTACATACCAGTTAGTAAGCATATCACCGTCACGCGGTTAAAAGCTAGTATAAAATAAATGTTATTTTAATGTATGCATAATTATTTTCCTTCTCACTTGGCCTCTATTCATTATAACTATTTTGGTTACAGCTACGCAAACTGCCCTTAGTTTGTGCAACATTCATCTGGGGTGCCGCCCTTATCTTCGCAACACCAGCCGCCGTGTTCTCCAACACAGTTACGGCGCAGCTACACGACAACATCACCATTGTGTACTGCACACCATACCCGCCAGGATGGGAGCATTATCCGAAGTACGACTTTCAACTTTATTATTATAACTTGTAAGTCGATAGTTGTGAGTAGATCGAATTAAATTAAAGTGACCACATCAAATCAAACGCCTGATGGGACTATCACAGTTAATTTACGCAGCTCTGCTTATTGGATTAACATAGGGTTGGCAATAAAATGTTGTGTGTAGTTTTTGTTTGTTTTATTACGTTATATGTCTATGGGCCTTCGTTGACAAATAGAGACCCTGTTTATCCGACTTCAAAAAAGGAGAAGATTTTCAATCTTTAATTTTTTTATGTATGTTCTCCGATTATTGGAAGATGTCTGGACTGATTCGAATTTTTTTTTTATTTTGTTTTATGTATTTGAATTGTACTGTACACTTTCAGATTGAGCTCATACAAGTATTATTAAAATCGGTCGAGTAGTTTAGTTCTTAAATCAAATTAACAGGTTTAATATTAACAATTATGATTGTTTTATTACGTTTATGTATCTGTAAGCAATCATTGACAATAGCGACCCCTGTTGTTGAACAAGATTTATATCTTGCTTAGCTTTTTAGCCACGCCGGCATACACAGACCATCAGTGTATGCCGGCTGAAGAACCCAGCGACCCGGAGGTCGTCGCCTCCGGAGTTGAAGCCGGGGTAGTGGGGCCCTACCTCGCCCGCCCACGCATCATCTGGTGGGCATGAGATGTCCCTGTTGATTGATTGATGTGCTTTTTATGGATAGTTTCGGCTGTTTGTTGTTGATATATGGGTCAGCCAGTCTGTCACTCAACATCCTTTCTTATATATAATTATCTGTGGTATCAAACTATATTTTTAAAATTTTAATTTTAATCACCAAGCGGTGTAAGTCGCGGTCTTAGCTAAATAAACCGATATCTATTACGATTATCATTAGTAAACAATTTGTATATTAATGCTTTTACAAATAAAAAAGCTAATCTAAGATTATCTTAATGATCAAAGTTGTGACATTGATATAATGGAAGAAGTTTAATCGATAGATTAGATTTTTTTCAGGGATTAACTAAACTCAAGTTTAAACGGTACCCAATATTTCGGGCCTAACTTCATAATTATCCCTAATACCATATTTTCTATTACATAAACCTATAATTATTGTAATTTGGTCTTGCTATTGTACAAAGAACTTACTAGAAATAAATATTTTATCAAATTTATATTAATGTAAAAGATTCAGGGAAGATAAATTAATATATACTAGCGACCCGCCCCAGCTTCGCATGGGTGCAATGGTGATATTAAATATACCTACCTACTACAGAATGTCCTTATAAACAACGTTTACAGTTTTTTGTCATAAAACAATACGAACATGATAAAGTGCTATAGGGCGAAGCGCGGCCTTCGACGCGCCACCGCACTGCATTTTTCTGCATTTTAAATCTGTAATATTTTCGGAAATATTCAATTAAATTACATACTGTAATAGCCATATTGATCTATATTAAATGGACAATGTATTTAAGGTACTTAATTGGTTAAAAGTTAATGCTGTATTGCTTAAAATCACTTCGTAAATAACCCATTTTTTCCAGTAAAAAGTAAAAGATAAAAAATTATTATTGCGGATTATCCTTAAGAGATAACATATACCATCGTAGACTTTTTTGTTGACCTTTTTAAGGTGTACAATACTGTAGTACATTATTTTGATTTATCTTGTGGGGTTTCTGCCAGCGTTTGCAATGTAAGCGTAAAAAAATATGTTTATTTACGACATGATATCAGAAACCTTTAATTTTATCAGTATTTCTCTACAATGTTATGCATGTATTTTACATATAAAACTTCCATTTGAATCACTCTATCTATTAAAAAAAAAAACAGCTTAAAAATTCGTTGCGTAGTTTTAAAGATTTAAGGGATGGACAGATAGCGACAGCGATTTTGTTTTATACTATGTAGTGATATATTTTCCGCAGTTTTAATGACATGAATAATTATATAAATTATCGTATATAATAGGGTACCAAATTACATCCAAATCCGTTCAACTGTTTCTGTGAGATTGAATAACAAACAAAGATTTTTACAAATTTTCACATTTTTATATGCAACTGAAAAGTCGTCAAATAAACTGATAGTCCACCTGAAAAGTGGTAATCACCACCTATAGGCATGAACAGTACCATGGACATAAAAGTATAATGTGCTGCCCATGATACCGATGATACCCTCTATGCGATCCCATTCTTGAAAACTAAGTTGTTTTGTCTCTGTACTCTGTTATTTCATTGCCGTATCCTATCCTAACATTGATAATGTTATTAGGATTAATATAAATGAAATAAATACAAGACTATCAGCCAATACTAAATGGTTACCGTAGTCTCTGGACGCTTGCAGTACTATGGGACTCGGAGCTCTGAGGAACTTTATTACGTCTTTTTTTAATATGGAATAAAAACATTATGTTGGACCTGTTTTTTGTAAGGCCACTTGAAAGGGTTTATTAAATCTCAAATCCTACAGAAATTTATTAGTACTATATATTTTATACTAATGATTCGACCCGGTTTCGCACGGCGGGCAGAATTTTCGAATATAAGTATTATTATAGCCCATGTTACTTCGCGCTGATAATGTAGCTTTTTATAGGTGAACTATTTTTTAAAATCGTTTACATATAAATTGGTTTGAGCAGTTTTGAGTTTATCAATTACATATAAACAAGCAAACGATCAAATCTTTCCTCTTATCAGTATTCCTTAGCTTTTACATTTTTTTTAATTGACGACCTCATTTGGGCAGTAAGAGATTTGTTTTGAGTATTGTACGATACTCGCCCTTATTAATATTATAAATGTAAAAGTGAGTTTATTTGTTGTGTTATAGCCTTTTAATGGCTTAACCAATCATTATGAAATTTGGTATACATGTACTATATGTGATGGAAAGGATATAGGCTATTTTTAATTCTGATCAATAAACATACCTAAGTCACACAGACGAAGTCGCGGATACAAACTAGTTTTTTCTATAATTATTTAAAAAACTCATACATTTAATTTATTAAATTGATAATTTAGTATCAAATTAAAACAACGATACAAATAGATTTATTGAAAAATAATTTATAAAATTTGCGCAAGAACAGTGAAATAAATAGTTGGTTCAATTAATGTCAATTATTTCGAAGTTTATTAGTTTTGTAAAATCAATTGTACAATCAGCACAGAATTAATATTTAATTTGAAGCAATTATACATTATTGTTTTTATACAACTTAGAATGGCAACAAGCTGACGGCCCATTTGATAGAAAGACATAACTGAGTATACTGTTTCGTCCATGATACCCCCCTTGCACCTGTGTTTTGGTTTGAAGAGTGGGATATGGCGTGAATTTACAGGGTACAGATGAATAACACCCGAGTTCTCAAGCGGGGTATCATGGGCGAAACAGTATACTCTGTTATGTCCATGGTATTGCTCATGTTTATAGGCGACGGTTACCACTTTCCATCAGGTGGGCTGTCAGCTTGTTTGCCATTCTAAGTTGTATATAAAAAAATGCATTGCAATTCCTGAGGACTAAGGTCATATCCCACCCTTCAAACTGAAAATCAGCCATGCGAACACAACTGCTTTACGGTAGAAACTCAAATGGGACAAAGGTGCCCAAGCAAACGACTTTTGAACAAATTCTCCTTCTGGTAAACTTAAAATTTATTATAATAAAATATGTGGCAAATTATAAATCTGTTGTCCGCATACGTGGATGCGGTAAATATAATATTTTAATCTTCAAATTCGAACTGAAATATTTTCTTATCGGCATTTTTTATTTATGATATTTATAAAATATTTATTATTATTTATAAGACTATTGGCTGACTGATTAAGAATAAAAATTATTATTATATATAATACCGTTGTTTTTTCTTCTCTGTAATATTTTTTTAATTATTAAAAAGATATTACAGAGAAGAAAAAAATATTGGTTGTGACAAAAATAATCCAAAAACAAAAAATAAATAAATAAACGATTGTCATACTATTATTATGTAAATGCTATCGTATTAAATTTATTATCTGGGTTGCACCCAAAAAATATATTAAATTATTAGGTTAGTGCACCCAATACACAAATTTTAATTTGTACAAAAGTATAAATAAATAAAAAATATATTTGTACTTCGTTAATTCTACTAATACTGTAAGTTCGTAAAGATGTTTGTGTGTTTGTTGTTCAGGCACCCGGCTTAAACGGCTGAGCGGATTTGTACACGAGTAAGTCCTAACATATAGGATACGTTATTACTGATTTTGGCAGGTAAAGCCACGTGAAATAGCCAGTTACTTTTAATGATTGGTTTATATTTGAATATTCTTATACGTTTTGTAGACACGTGTACTCGACTCGGATCCAAGATGTTTTATGCATGAACTTAGTAAGCGATTGTTTGAAATATAAAGGCCAATATTTGATCATGGGTACAAGAGGCATTATGGTAATTTTACCTACTGTTTATGATAACGCCTCTGGGACTATTATATCCACATTCTGTTCTGAATGAGTGAAGATGAAAAAAGTGATGTTTAGACAACCTCGTATTCGCGGCTCGCTTGGAGATTGGAATTTCATTTTGTTTCTGTTACGTATTTATATACTCGTAGAAGACATTGTAAACAGCGCAAAGTGCAATTTACAAATATCCTTTTAATGGAATGGTTCTTTGAGCTCTAAATAAACTTTTCCGTTTTTATGCGCTTCCAAGTATCATGTTAACATAGAAAGCACTAAATGTTCTGTTTTTGAAAAAATATTCAATTTAGTATAAGTATATATATACGACGGTTACTACTTTCTATCAGGTGGGTCGTCGTCTTGTTTGCCATTCTAAGTTGCATAAAAAATCCTAATAATACATCTCTATTTAAGGGCTATACTCTTCCCGGTGGAGCTCTTGCCTATACCAGTACTTGCAGTACCAATTTTTTTCTTAAGCTGCTTATGTAACTATTTATTTATTTTATTTATTTATTTATTTATTTAACACTTTATTGCACCAACATAACATGATTTGTTAAAACAATTTTCAATACGTATAGTGTAGTACAAAAGGCGGTCTTATTGCTAAGCAATCTCTTCCAGACAACCTTTGGGTAGAAAGGATTAAAACATAAGTAGGTAGGTGGCGCGTTAAAAAAGATAGATTTGTAAAAAATAATATTTGTGACAGCATAGTCATATACATATACATACATAAATAAACACATACAACCAAACATATACATATATATACATACACATACACATATAAATATATATACATACATATACATATATACGCATAAATACATACAAATATACCATATTAATACACATATATATAACACACATAAAACTGGAAATACGTAGGACTAAGTGATTATAAGGATAGGTAGTGGGCTTTAACTAAGTTTTTAAAAATGGGCAACGATTGAGCGCACCGTATAGAGGTAGGGAGTGAGTTCCACAAACGAACTGCTTGCACGGAAAAGGATTTGAAAAGAACTATACCTTGGTCTCCCGCTTCATCTCCTTACTTCTATCTTACTTACTATTATAATGTTTATAAGTTCGTTATATTGTATCATAGGTCCCAAATTTATTCACTTCTGGCTATATACTTCATGTTTTTAAAATAAATTTAAGATGATTAATATTATTCCTTAACTATTATTAATTGAAGTAAAAATCGCTCATTTTAGTTACAATTTATTAAAACGTGTGGTCAACGATACATTTTACAAATAAAAAATCGTAAATAATAAGAAAATGTATCTGTAATACTTTATCAATAAAAATACCAATATCTGGTTGCTAAACAATTAGATAATTGGGCAGAGAAATTACTCGATAAGTGGGAGTAAACTAAGCAGAGCAGCAGCAGTTAGATTATCTATAACTTTTATAATTTTCTTTAAATATATAAATAATGTATTTAATAGTACAACTATAATTATAAATCAGCCATCGGTAATAAGATAATTTCTTATCGGGAAGGATCGTAGACGCTTTGTTATAATTTGCACCACGCACATTTATACTGACAAACTGAGAGTTTTGTTTCGATAAATGTTTTTTTTTTGTTTCAGATGGATGGCGTTAGCCAAAGCCATAATTTATTATGGCCTACCGCTACTAGTGATTGCTTTTTTCTATACACTAATGGCTCAGAGATTGCTGGCCAGTACCCGAGAAATGCCTGGTGCCTTCCATGGAGGACAAGGGGAGGCACAGGCAAAAGCTAGAAAGTCCGTCGCCTGTATGGTTCTTATTTTCGTTATTGGTTAGTGTTTGTTGATATTATTTAAATTAATATATGCAAAAATTAATTGACTATTAATTTTGTATATAAAACATGAAAATTCGTTTGACTAAAGACTGATATTGACTTATACTTTTTATACTTGATATGTCCTCACTTTACTTTTATTTGAGTTTCTATTCGACTAAGGAAAGTTAATGGTCAAGAGATGAGCAACAGCGTTTTTCTTAAAACATTACTAAAGCCTATACTAATGGTCGACGCTGAAAGGGAACCAGTGAGGAATGACAGGAGAGAATGAAAAGGCAAGTCAGTTAGTTCGTGCTGAATTCCAGGTGTATTCATCACGATGGTTTTTAGGGGAGACCATGTAGAGGTTAACCTGACAGGGTATATTGCTAGCAATGGGACTGGTAATCCGCATTACTAACAATCCTTTCCTCCCCACATCACTACAGTTGCCCACCTGCCTACTAAGCGGGGCAACTACTAGCAAACTACTACCCCCCAAGAGGAAGGCCTATGTTCAACAGTGAACAATTAAGGGTTGATATGAATAAATGTGTGTTGCTTGCGATACAGCTGTGAATTGCGTTAATGAAATAAGAGTTCCTATTAAGTTCGAAACTAGTCGAACAACCCCTAATTTACGCGAGTAAAAGCTAACATAAATTATTACAATATACTATTTTTATTAGAATCAAAAATTTATATTGAAAAGGGACGTTGAGTTATTTCGCACTTTGGTATGAATAGCCCTAAAAAGTGAAATGTATGTAATGAAAAATAAACAACTGGATAATTCACACCATAGTCAATTGTGGCACTCCTAAAATCTGTATTCTAATTTGTTCTCAGTATTCTTCATATGTTTCTTGCCGTATCACGCCTTCGAGATGTGGTATCATCTATCGCCGACCGCCCAAACAGACTACAACGACTGGACTCATGCTTTGAGAATAATGGGATTCTGTCTTAGGTTTGTATGGTACAATAATCTCAATTATAATTCTTCTACAGGCACCTCTTTGGTAATTAGATAGATTATATTTGCACCTCCTTGGAGAGTAGATTTTTACGATTACTCTTGTTCTGTTGATGCGAGATGGTATTTACAGCTTACCAAACGCATGCAGGGGATAAATGCATGCAGTTCATCGTCAACACCTTTGATCTCTATCATTGCTTTATTAGTATTATAATATATTATCGTGTATGTACGGACAAACGCAGTGTCGGACGACCCCACACTAGATGGATGCAGGTGGCTCAGGACCTTTCCTTATGGCGGTCTATGGTCCCCCATATGTGCAACAATAGACAGTTAATGGCTGAAATGATGATGATGACGATGATGATCGTGTATCTATGTACATACACGATCAAACATACAAACATATAAATATGTGTATGTTTTTAAATTATATATTTTATATGTAAGTAATATTTATTTAATGTCTTCATGTAAGCATATTTATATGATCATAATGTGCAGTAATTCTCCATTCTATGTGGAATTCAATATGTAGGTATATTTCTGTAACTGTTAATCTACAATAATTTAATTCAATACAAATTCAATATTTCAATACATAATTACATTTCTGTTTTACCAAAGGTTGACTGGGAGAGAATACTATAAAGCATAAAGTCCCCTTTTTATATCAGTTTTTGTAATGTGATCAATAAAGAATTAATAAAAAAATAAAAAATAAAATGCAGCGGGCATTCCAAACCCTTGGAGAAGTACTTACTAGACGACTGAACATTGACTCGAAGTGCCAAGATGAATTACTCGGAAGTTGACTGCCAGTTTAGTGAATTCATCTTTTTTTATTTGCCAATTGCCGTTTGGCTCTGGTGATTCCAGTCCATTATTGTCTGTTCCTCTGTTATAACTTTTTACGTCCTCTGACGCATCTTTTACCTTTTACTTTGCTTATTATTACCTACAAGTTGATAAATTTCAAAACATTTATACAAAACGTGTATATGTGAATTAAATATTTGACTACGGCTAATAGTTTGTCTGTGTATCAAATAAAAACTATCAAATCATTTAAGCTATAAATTTCGCATATTTAATCACAATTTCGATATTTGTTAATTTTAAGAACTTTATGGAAAGCTGAGAATAATATTCAAGGAAGATGACGAAACTGTATTTCGATCTACCGAGCTCTAATACATTATACAAACGTGTAGATATAATGTTACCTATATACACTAAATTAAGAATAAACATACCTTTCCCTTTATATACATCTAAACAGCTACGACCTTTTAAAGCTTTCTTTAAAGAAATTCAATGCCTGCGACATTTTAACATCTCAAGAAAAATACTTCGATAACCGTCTTACTTTTGTTATGTTTCAACAAAAGATTCTCCCAAGTTTATGGGAAAGCTTTTTTTTAAACATCCAACCGATTACGAAGTTGGGTATGTCTATAAATATTTATAAGATTCCTCTTTGTTTTGAAATCGCTCCATAAAAGGATATAAGAAACTTAGTTGAATCAATTTGGTAACACCTCATTAATCATAAAATAACTGTCAGTTACTCTATACGGAAAGGTTAAGGTGATAGATTGTTTAAATTGGTAAATTGCTAAAGGATAATGGATACCTTTCTCAATGGCAAATAACCACTTTTCGATCAAAGAGAAAAGGAAATTTTAATAATAAAACATTCTATTAGTGAACGTAATAAATGGCTATATATATATATATATATATATATATATATATATATATATATATATATATATATATATATATATATATATATATATATATATATATATATATATATATATATATTCAGGGGATTTGCATGAAGGTTCGTGAAGGTTGACCTAATAGATTATATTGCTAACAGGGTCTAGAAGCCCCATTGCCTTCTAGATCCTGTTACTAATAATCCGTTCCCCCACAATTTGTATATCAAAGGGTTAGAGGCATCTACATATATATTAAATAATACAATATAGCTAAACATCATATAAGGGAACAAAAAGTGAAACAATTACGCAGAGAAATATTTAATTAAATGTAATGAATGCAATTGATACTTATCTCCATAGTTTAATATTATAAAAAAACTATGTAACAACTAGTATAACATAAGAACTATTTATAGTAGCAAACAAGCTGTGAATCTATTCAATAGAATATATTAATTTATATATGATTGTTATTTTACACCTAATTGTAGTTAATTAAAGCAATTGTCCAATAATATGTATATTTCCCTACAGTACGAGTACAGTACAGTAAAATACAAGTAATACCTACATAGTTGAATATTATAAGGAAAATGTTATAAGTATGATAGAATAATGACAAACAGCCAGTGAGTTTTTAGGCATTTAATATAAAAGCTCCGTCTAAAAAGTGAAGGTATATCTGATGTTAAGTTTAATGAAGCAACTCACCTGTAATATTTTTCACAACAGTTTCCTGAATTCCTGCGTCAACCCCGTAGCACTTTACTGCGTAAGTGGAGTCTTCCGGCAGCACTTTAACCGTTACTTGTGCTGTCGTAGAAGCACTCTCCACCCCACGTGCAGTTCTCGACTTTCCAGAACTGCGATCTGTGAGACCTCATTTAGGAGCACCCATCGACATCGATGCAACAGGTCTGTGTTCAAAATCTAATATTTGATCCTTATAGTCTGCTATGTATGTTGAATATTATCTAAATATTTTTTTTTTATTTTACACTTTATTGCACCAAGTAAAAAAATAATAAATACAGTGTAAATATTAATAAGAAAGAAGTATTAATAATTAAGTATTAACTGGTAACAAATGGAAACTTTCAATCGATTAATTGTTTCTTTTTGTATTAAATTTTTTTTTACTCCTTTTGAACATTCACAGACTGTCTTATATTTCAGTCAAATATTAATTTGTTAATATTTTCATAACGAATTATAATATGTATATTTATAAATATTTGGCCAAACGCAGTGTAGGACGGTCCTTCACTAAGTGGAGTGACGACCTGATATGCGTTGCAGGGAGTCAATGAATGCAGGTATTGCAGTTTATGAGGGCGCCTATGTTCAGCAGTGAATAGATAAAGGCTGGTATGATGATGATGATGATAAATAGATTCATTTCCAATCCAATCCAAGAAACTTCAAACAATTGGAAATAACTGAAAGCTTCAAATAAATGTTATTAACATATAGTTAATTCAACCAGAATTTAACCACTGCTTCTATGGTAAATTGTATCAACATTTACAGGAACCCAACAGAAAGTGTGGTGATATCCAACTACGACTATGGAAGTACTAAAAAGAAAGGCAACATAATATCCAGGAATAGTACAGACGGAGTCACTATAATGACTATCAGGGACACCAATGACTTTCTAACGGGGGATGTTGATGAAAAATGTATCACTAGATAGGCTTAAATTAAAAAAAAAAAGATTGGACAAAAGACATACTTAAATTTTATTTTTTATAATTGGTATCGCTTCTTGCTATGAAATCGATATACCATTTAATGTATAAATAGTAAATGCATATACGTTACATGAGAGTTATAGATAATATAAACAAACACAATAAAAAAAAAATCAATATAAATATAATATGTTCAGAATCGAAGACATTCAAATTAAAAATATATAATATACAAATATTATTGTAAATAAAGAGTTATAACTTTCAAAATTATACTACAGGGATCTCAAATAATTTAGATTTATATGAAATTTAATTTAAATTTAAGATAAGTGTAAGTGTATATATAGTATAAATAACTGATAAGTTTCTCTAATATTAAGAGAATATGGCATATTAAATTGAAAAAGATTATTTAAAATTTACACATTGTTGATATTAAATTTAATTAAATAATATTACGTATACATAATGAAACTAAATCATTAGCATCTTTCCTGTAGAAATATCAGTTGATAAAGAATAAAAATTTAGTTTATTAACTATATATAGTAATTATACCTTCGCATACTAACAAGGCTCGTCCAGCTATCAAGTTAATATGGGGCTCTAAATTTTGTATATGTGTGTGCGTGTGTGTGCATTTGTTTGCGTACACGTGCGCATGTGTGTGAAACAAAAATAAACTTAAGTTCTTTTGTATAAAATGTTCAGTTTCGATAGACTTCCTTAAAAATTATTATCATTTATTTTTTAAACTTTAAAAAGAGATATAAATAAAATAAAAAAAAACTTTTTATGAATTCACCTCTCCATTCGGAGTACAATTTCAGTTGAGAAGGACGGGCAAGAAACTCAACTGTAGCTTGCACTGCACTCTCTAAATAGGATGCTAATGATTTGGAGATTTTAACCTGTATATTATGTATATAATATAATATTTCACGCCTACATTCCCTTGGTGTAAACAAAACATCAAAATCACAGTGATTAATGTGTTAGCTAATATATATGTCATATGAAAAAGTCTTATAATTTATTATGAATTCATAAGTGACAAAATGTTAATTAACTATCTCATAAGCATTCAAGACACTACATCTTCGTATAAATACTTACCACAAATGGTGACTACCATTAAAGATGATAGATGAGGAGAGAGTGAGGTCAGTTGACGCATCGTCACGAATTTAGTAGGAATTATCCACGACGATTTTTAGGAGATGCCGAATATAAGGCGAAAGTTAAAATTTGGATTCTTTTATATGAAGACACTACCAATGCAACTAAAGACACGTCGTGTTGAACTACTAAGTTTTTTTTTTCATAAAACAAGGGACAAATGAGCATGCGGCTCATCTGAATGTAAGTAACTACTGCTGCCTATGAGTGCTCGAAATACTGGAGTAATTCCAGGTGTGCTGCCGGCCTTTAAAAAGGAAAATGCTGTTGTCACTTTTTACTCCATGTACTATTGAGTAAAATCGTCAGTTTCGCTGGTAGAATTATCTTTAAAAGGATGCTAGATTTAACACTGTATTACTGATAATGAGTCTCCCATATTTTATAAGAGACGGGAATTAATGCGATCATTTGGGTGAACTATAATAATTTACCAAAATTATCTCGACGTTTCACGAGTACGAGTACACTGATGTAGTGCTGTCATGTCTCCGCTTAATTACTAATAATTAATTATTTAATTCCCATCTTTTATACAACATAAACGTCTAGAAAGTCTAAAAGACAATAATTGGTCTCCTAGTTCTCTTCCAACTTATCATTCTCTCCCTCTTGTGTTTGTGGTATGTTCGTATGTTAAAGATATTAATATTTCTTTATTTACTTGTAACAGTAGTAGATGATTAATTTAACCTATCATATTTTCAGTGATGATAAAACTAAGTTCCGTAAGTTTGCAACATATTTTAACTGTAACAAAATCCGGTTTGATATAGAATACTTTTGTCGAGAATTGTCGACTAGTATTCTCATGATTTTCTTACAGTTAAAATAATAAGACTATTATTTATAACTTTGGCAATTAAATGAGATTAATTAACTAATAAATTATATATTTTTTATGTTTCCTTTTATTGTAATGAAATTAATTAAAATTACAGTATAATATTGTGATTCAATTCTTCTTTCTTTCTTTCTTTGTTACACTATCTATAAAATGTATTTCCGGATATTTTGAAACACCCTATTGTGCTCTTAAGATTAATGTTGTCATAATGTTCAAGTGTAATAAAAATCATTTCTCATAATAAATAGTCGTCTATAATTTCAGTTTTATTTCAAACTATGACGTAGTTCTAATTTTTTTTTCTTTTTCCTTTAAATACCTTGGAACTGATGTTATAATTAAAAAAGTAATTTAATCAACCTAGATTGGTTCTAGGTGATTCTGGAACCTAATCTCAATATCAATTTAAATCCAATCTCTTGCCAATCGCGATTTTGTTTTGTTTTTTGAGAAATAACAATTATGAATTAGATTAAAATTGGGACCGGGTTTACATTGGCAAGTTACACTAATATACATATACAAAATAGTTGCAAAAGTACCGAATAATTCAGATTTACAACATATAAGTGGAATGTCCGGCCTTTGCTTTACAAAGACTTGTTCTGGTAGATGTTTTAACAAGTCTATATAAAAATAAACCCCAGCTCTCGCCATCTATCCTTCAGAACACTGATACTTATGCAATTATCTACTAATTTATCCGCAACAAGTGTTTTAATAAACACAGTAATTACATGAAGATATGAATTTACAAAAAGAGTAATTGATATTAAAGATGGGCTAAAAGGAAACATCCAAAGCTGGCAAAAAGTTGCCCTATTTATTTATTTTCAATTTTATTGATTGCAAGTCAATCCTTAAGATGTGCAGAGATACTTGACGGCGGTTTAAATAATAAAATAATTTATATTTTTATACTCGTATATAATAATTCCGTTCACTTTAATCATCCAAACTGCTCAATATTTAATGAACTAATTGTTTTTTTTTTGTATTCTTTGTTCCATCTTAAGATTTTTTTTATCCCGATAACTGATCTTACTAATAAAAATGTAACTAAACAATGCGTGTACAAGAAAGGTATTTAAGGAAAATGATATGAGATGTTTTTATAAGAACAATAGAAGCAGAAACAATAATTTCTAGACATTTTGTCTGTCTGTTTGTTTGTTCCGGCATCACGCAAAACTACTGCACAAAATTGCATGCAGTTTCACAGTTGTATTCTTGAAGGTCCAACTTAAAAGACTGGTGTATATGTTACCTTGATACGAAGAGTACAGAAGGTCTATTTCATTTGTTTTTCTACTCCTGAAATTCACGCATACGAAGTAGCGGGCAAACAGCTAGTCTTCAATATAATGGAACCAGTAAGTGAGCAAAAGAACGTTTGCGGGGTCACCCAGTATGAATAATAATAAATATGGGATACGGTTGAAAAGGCCGCGAGGCTTTTGTGAACGTATGCAGTGGGAAGATTCATTCACAGTTATGTGAATTTCAATACACAATATCAGTACCGCTGTGGGAAATAATTTTGATATTAAACTACAAACATTTGACGTTTGATGTAAATTATCTATATTTCTATACTAATATTATAAAGAGGAAATGAAATTAAATTTATTTGCTAGAAACATTGTAGAAAAGGTGTTGCATTTGTGAGTTTATAAGATGTCCATTATGTTTCGCCACATCAAATGGCATGCATGGTAATATTTTAATTAGTGGATTTATCCATTGGCTATTTTATACAGGTACATTATATATTTAATTTTCAATTACATATACAATAAATCACTATTAGTACGAAATGTCACTTTGGTCATGCATTACAAACAGTCAATAAAGCTACTATAAATAATAAAATGATAAAAATGTCAAATAAAATTAAAATTACAATTAAAATTTCAAACTTAGTCAATGTCACAGCATTTATAGCTTACAAAAACTCATTAATATTGTAAAAATTATTTTCTATTAACCATGTTTTCAATTTTAATTTAAAATAATTTAATGGCAATTCTCTTATTTTTTTTTTGGTATCCTATTATAAATTCGAGGAAAAATTTGTTTGTATGTTTCTAATGGATAGACTAAAAACTACTTAACCGATTCTACAAATTATTTCTTTTTTTTTATACAACTTAGAATGGCAAACAAGCTGACGGCCCACCTGATGGAAAGTGGTAACCGTCGCCTATAGACATGAGCAGTAGCGTGGACATAACAGAGTATACTGTTTCGCCCATGATACCCCCCATGCGTTGCCATTCCTGAGGACTCAGGTGTTATTCCTCTGTACCCAGTAAATTCACGCCAAATCCAACACTTGAAACACGAATGAGACAGAGGTACCCAAACAATCGACTTTTGTACAAAGTCTCCCTCTGGTTCCCAAAGTTTCGCCTATAAAAAGTTAATGTAATCAGCGAGTAACATAGATTGTATATTATTTTAGAAAATTGTATTTTCCATGCAAAGCCGGGCTAGTTTGCTAGTTAAACTATAAAATGTCAGAAAATTAAATAGTTTAAATATTTATTGCTATCCTATACAAAAATGCAATATTCTTTAAATTAGTAATCGACTCGACAGACATTGTATTGTATAGTCTAAGATAGATGACTTCAATGAAAGGATAGATTTTTTTTATATTGTTTTTTCCGAAGAAAGATACAATTACTTTAGTACATGAGTCTTCCTGATTATACCGAGTATATTATGTTGTAAGGGTTCAGGGATGAAGAAAGATAATGCCCGTTGCTTTGAAGTCAGGAATTCGTAGAAACTGACCCATTGGTCAGATATATGATTATGTAGGCAAAATTGATAAAAGTAAATCGTTTTGGAATATAAATGGTACCAATACATTGTTTTTAGTACATATTTAATAATACAAGTTAAAAATAACTATTTCTCTGGAAGAAATTCCATTGCTTTTTAGAGAATACGTCAATTTTGTGGCGAGTCTGGGGCTTCAAACAGAAACCGCATGCAATATCCGTTTAATATTGCAGCGAGCATTGCAATGGAACTGCTCAAACGTAAACAACATGAGTTTACGAAAATCTAAAATAGTATATTTCATATTTTCACAATTTAATGCTCGAGCTGTGATATGAGCTCGACCGAGGTTTTCCCTATAGACTGTAGTATGAAGTTCTTCAAAAAGTGTATATTAATATACCGGGAAATGAATCTATGCAATTAGAAAGAGGTATCAACATAGCAAAATAAATTAACATTCCTTGCGTTGTATAACTATTAATAATTTATCTCTGGCCAAAATATCGATATCGATAGGTATCATAAAATACCTGGCTACGTTATAGTGCAAAAATTTCATATTCAATGAAATGGTTGTACATGTTTTATAACTGTTTTTGTGCTCAAAGAGAATACTTGAATATTTATTGCGTTATAGTTGACACGTACTTCTATATTTATATATAGGTTACATAAATTCATTTTACAGTTATATCAATATAAGATCAGTGCCGACTCTTAAATAATGCAATAATTTACTTACTCTGTGATCAGGACAACATGTTTTATTTTACACTTTACATCACTTATATAAAACTTGACTTCGTAGCTAACATTAAGTCAAAGAAAATTTTATTTTTTATTTCTCAGAGTGGTATAAACAGTATGGTATAAACTTTACTTTTCTCATATGTATTTTTCACGCTGTTACCATTTATTTTAATTTGTTGTCTGTGTCTGGTTACCTATATTACGAAATTCAATTAATATCGCAAATGCTCGTGCTTAGCGGGCCGAGGTGTGCAGTCAAGCTTACACTCACGTAATAGCCACTTCCGCTAATTAAAGGTCCCGAATAGTCTCGAAACTAGTCGAGCTTTCTTGAGTTACCTTATATGGTAATGCCTTAACGGATTAACTAATTGCTATGAATTTTGATACACACGTACTATATGAGATGGAAAAAGAAATGGCTTTTTGGATGGATGGAAAAGGCATTTTTATCCCAGTAAGAATAAGGCCACGCGAACGGAATCACGAGGTTTTACTCGTAATAATTGTCAGGCTTGGTAGGCGGGTTAGCATCCGTAACTTTTGATGATATTTTAAGAGAGGCGCTGCAGTTTTTCACTCGACCATCAAATTCCCTTAGTCGCCTCTTATGACACCCATGAGGAAGAAAGGGGTGGTCTAATCTATGTCATACGTCGTGTTTAATTATAATTCATTAGTACAATCTATTTTAATAAGTGTAAATTTAGTTTTTATTTAGATAGATACATCGACATTTTATAAGTAACTGTTTTTAAGTCTTTTTAAGTTAATGTAAACACAAACTTTGTAGCAAGAATTTCCTTTCTTTTGATAACTTGAAAAGAAGAATCGTTACAAGTTTGAAGCTTTGAAGCCTTTGTCTTTACATCTGTCTGTCAAATAATTGAAGAAGTGGATTTAATTATTAAGGTTATAAGGTCTCTTTGAGGTTGATAATGCGCACGTGACCTACTTGGTGCTGCAGGCGTCCGCTTCAATCACCGTTTAAACGGGCTGTGTGCTTGTTTATTCGTGGTGTTAACGGTTTTACAGGACAAAAAAAAATTCTAGTTGGTAAATAGTTTCGAATATATTTTCTAGGAAATCCTTACAAATTTATATTTGTACTAATATTATAACGAAAAAGTTTGATTGTTCGTTTGTAATAAACTCAAAAAGTTCTGAACTAAGTCTTTAAAATCCTTTCACCTATGTGAATGTGAATGTGAATAGGACTCCATTTTCCGCGCTTAGCCTCTAATTTGGGCCGTTGTGCGTATGAGTCGTGGCTAGTACAGCCAACCTAGCTCCGCCCAGAAGCATAGAAGCTTCCTAGGATATTCACAGGCCTCACGGAGCGACCTCACCGTTCCGAGGATTTCTAAACGTTGATGGGTCACAGCTTCACATTCCAGGATTATGTGAGCAGCCGTTTTTTCGGCGTCGAAACAGCCACGACATAGAGGACTGTCTTTGGCTCCTATTGTGTATAAATGTTTGTTTAATGGACAATGGCTCGTTATTGTCCCTATCATTATTTTGAGGTTTTTCCTATCTAGATGTATAATAATAATCCTTTCACCTATAGAAAGCTACATTATCAACGAATAACAAACACTATTATATTATTTTCTTAAATTCTATATACCTGTGCGAAGCTGGGCCGGATTGCTAGTATTATAAATATGTATATATGTCTGTTACTTTTTAGTTCAATCAA